AAGGCTGCTGGGCTGTATGATAAGACTCACATCTGCATATCAAAGGCAGCAGAGAAAGCCTGAAAATGACAGGAATAAAAAAAAGGATGACATATTGCTCTGGGTGTGTGGAGTAGAGTGGTGGATGTTCGGAGTCTTAGGGGAGCGAGTCGTTCTGAAGACAAAGCTTTTGCTCTTTTAAAAGGCAGGCTCAGTGGATTTGATAAGAAGAACAAACACCTCACTGAGATGACATACAGTAATACACGTGTTTAATTAGAGGCACGGAGAGTCAAGCATCGCACACCGCCGAGTTTATCTTGTCTGGAAGGACCCGGAATGATGAACGACTCCCAGAAAGATCTGCCTGTTCATAAAAATAATCAAATAATTTCAAAAGTGAAATAATCCTGACAAGAAGGAAGCGCTGCGCCGTGCATACAAATAAGCTTTTGGTAAACTGTAAGTGTTTTCTTTCTCCTTTCTGCTGCGTGTTTTCGGTTGTTAATGCTGAGAAGTGCAGAGTCGGCTTGTGTTAAAGCTTCTGGCGCTTCGTTTAGGAAAACACTTCACACCAGGCGGCTGTGTGCGGCATTTATCTTAGAAAAATCAAAAGTAAAAAGCTCACCAGACGGAGCTGCACTTTTCCTGTAATCTGCATGCAATCAAGCAGCCACCCAGCAGTGGGGACGTGATGTACAAGGCTGAGTGTCAGTCACCATTAGAACAGACGTTTTCTCAGCCTTTAACAACAGGTGTGATCATTATATTGTTTTTTCTTTCCTTTTTCACTTTTTCAATATCTTTGTCCATTCCCATCATTTTTCCTCTTTATTCTCCTTGGAAATCCAATCTATTTCTTCATCTTCTTCTTTTTATTCTGCTTTCCTTTTCTTCTTCACCTTCAGCGAACTGAAAAACAGTGCCTAAATAAACTTGTTGATTGTTTTGTGCTTCACAGTTTTCACTGCTCCTGTTAATATGGCGTTATTTTAAAAATCAAATCTTCAATAATTCTTCTTCTTAGGCTTTTATAATTTTTCCTTGCTATTCAGCTACTGTATTTCTTCTCCACCTTGTTCTATTTTTCTTTTATTTATTCCATTTCCTTCATTTTTCCTGTTCTTCACCTTGTTCTATTTCATCTTCTTTTTCTTCTTCTTGCACTTTTATTCTTTTTCTTAGTCTTGATCTTCTTCTTGTTTTTCTTCTACTTCCTCTTCCACTTCTTCTTCATCTTCTTTTGATTGTTTTCTCTTTAAATCCGTGACTTTCTCCTGAACACTCCTGCTGCTCAGGTTAACTGTGAGCAGCAGATCTGTCCGTGTGTTTGTGAGAGCGAATGGTTGCTTGTGTTTTTCTTACGGCCATGTGATAAGCGGTCAGAGGTCTACCCACCTTTTAACTCAATGTCGGATGAGAATAGTTATAGCGCCCCCTGTGACTCCTAGCAGGATAAAACAGTTAAGAAAATAAATCAATGAAATTATTGAATTTGTGACATTTGTTACTGTCACGAACGTTATTTAAACAGATCATTTCAACTCTTCCACGATCACCTTGGTTCTTTAATTGCTTGTCGAGTCAAGTGTCTGCTTCACCTTAACGTCAACCACTAGTCTCCAGTCATCCTGTGTTTAATCCCACTTGAGCCTTAACTTAAGTCGTAATCCTACTGTTCGCCAGAGCAGAACGGTGGTGCAGTGTAGAACTGACGTTCTTACAGACACTGATTAGACACTCTTCTTAAAGACCACATAACCTTGATGTTAATGTCAGTGTTTGATCCCCCGACGTGTGGGAACGGTGAACCCAACGGTTCGTCGTTAACCTTGATAATGTCTTTTTAGGAAAGTGACACAGCACATCACAGCGACACAGCGCATCACAGCACATCACAGCACACAACCAAATGTGACCTCGGCTTTTAACCCATCACCAAAGTCAACAGTGTGTGGGGACGGTGCCGTGCTCAGAGGACCTCAGTGGTAATCTGGCAGCTGGTGGAGCCTTGCGGACCCAAAGCTGCTTCCTTAACCACTAAGCCACCACTGCCATGATATAATATAAATAACATCATTTGTAAAAAACCTTTCAACAAAAATTCTCTCTTTTCAAACCAGGTGAACAGATACAGTAGCTACGGTCACACTAATATCAAAGGCATCCTTAGATAAACCCTCACCAGGTTTCCTCCGTTATTAAGATTAGCATCAGTGCTAACGCAGTCACATTAAGGGTGAATCTTTTGAAGTTTTCTCTACCATTGTACAGTATGTGGGTTAGTTTGGAGGAAACAGAGCAGATAAAACAGGAGCGGATGTTATGGAGTATCTGTTACAGACGCCTCAACGAAGTGACTCACAGCAAACTGATTGCTTTTGTGGCTGAGTTCAAGAATTGACAACTATAAAACTGAAGCACATAAAGGTGGAATAAACAACCAGGAATGATGGTGTGGATGCCAGAGACAGAAGGTAAATGAATAGATGTGTGTGTGTGTTTGTGCTGTCTTTGTGCATACAGATAAACCTGCATCATGTCCCTGTGATTGCAGGAGCATTTCAGCACAAACAGCTTATCAGAGAGAACCAGGTTTCCAAAAGTTTGGAAAGTACCTCCATGGGCTGAGGCTTGGATACTCCATCATCACCCTCTCATCTTCTTCCTCGCTCTTTCTCCATTTCTCTCTCACACATTTCTGTACACTGCATATGTACACACACACACACACACACACCTCTGTGCAAACAGATGATGACACCTAAAAGTGATTCTCTTTCTATTTCCCCTATATTTCCAAACAGATAAGTCCACCATTGTTCATGACGATTTGTCTTCAAAGAGGCAGAAAAAATTCCACAGACAAGATGAAGGACAACAGGCATCACACAGTAGAAGGATGGTGTGCATATTCACTGCTTAGGCTCCAAGCAGGGAATAACAAATAATACCAGTTAACAAATCCACTTTTTGCAAAAACCACTAACATTAATAAATTAAATTGTCTTTGTTTACGGGATGACGATTTGTCAAAAAAGAAAATGTATTCTTACCGGAAGGTCATCTGGAATATCTGCCTCAAGTTCACTTGCTGGCTCTTGTTGTTGTATCCGTGCAGCATTTCAGCAAACAGCGTGTCGTTGAATCGGACGTCCTGTCTGGGACACTTTGGTCCCTCACAGTTATCTGACTGTAGGAGACATGAGCGGCCGTCCCCTGCGAGACTGTACTCCTGGACACACCTGAAGAGGGGTGGATACAAAAGAACAATCGAATATTAAATGTAAATATATGTTAATTTATCCATACCTGAGCTGACAAGGACACGCGTTTCCTTCAAAGAAAATCATACTTTTGTCAAACTCAAGGCGCGCTGGCCAAATCTGTCATTCATTCATTCCCAAGTCATTTTATGTGCCCCACCAGAGCTTAACATTTGTTCAAATATTAGTACATTAACATGAAGTTTCTAATATTCTGTACCACTTACATACACACAAAACTACGGCTCAGGGGCCAAATGCGGCCCACTTGGCTTTTTAATCCGGACAATCCACCAAACTTATGTTATTAATTTACATTACCATTATACTTCTGCGTTTTCCTTTAAAAATGTCCCCATTTCTCCAGTAGATGGTGTAGAAAAGGCTAAAAGCTTTTTTAAAAAACAGTTTAGCCTTTATGCATGACTTTTACATGTCATTTATAGTTTTATAGTATTGCCCCCCTGTCAAATTTTAGGATCTATTATGGCCATAATGTGAGTCAAAGTTTTCCCACGTCTGCTCTACAACAACCGTCAAAAACAGCCCACACGAGCTAGTGTTTCCTAAAGTTTTTAAATAAAGACATTCTCAGCATTTTAACCAGGGTTTCCTCTACATGCATTAGGCAGCAGCCGCAGCAGCAGCAGCAACCCCGCGGCTCCTTAATTATTGCCACCTCTGCTACAGAATTGGGGCAGACGTGCCATAATAGACTACCTGTGACTGTGTCTGTTCCCTAAATAATAAACATCCTGATATAATATAAATAACATCATTTGTAAAAAAACTTTCAACAAAAATTCTCTCTTTTCAAACCAGGTGAACAGATACAGCAGCTACGATCACACTAATATCAAAGGCATCCTTAGATAAACCCTCACCAGGTTTCCTCCGTTATTAAGATTAGCATCAGTGCTAACGCAGTCACATTAAGGGTGAATCTTTTGAAGTTTTCTCTACCATTGTACAGTATGTGGGTTAGTTTGGAGGAAACAGAGCAGATAAAACAGGAGCGGATGTTATGGAGTATCTGTTACAGACGCCTCAACGAAGTGACTCACAGCAAACTGATTGCTTTTGTGGCTGAGTTCAAGAATTGACAACTATAAAACTGAAGCACATAAAGGTGGAATAAACAACCAGGAATGATGGTGTGGATGCCAGAGACAGAAGGTAAATGAATAGATGTGTGTGTGTGTTTGTGCTGTCTTTGTGCATACAGATAAACCTGCATCATGTCCCTGTGATTGCAGGAGCATTTCAGCACAAATAGCTTATCAGAGAGAACCAGGTTTCCAAAAGTTTGGAAAGTACCTCCATGGGCTGAGGCTTGGATACTCCATCATCACCCTCTCATCTTCTTCCTCGCTCTTTCTCCATTTCTCTCTCACACATTTCTGTACACTGCATATGTACACACACACACACACACACACCTCTGTGCGAACAGATGATGACACCTAAAAGTGATTCTCTTTCTATTTCCCCTATATTTCCAAACAGATAAGTCCACCATTGTTCATGACGATTTGTCTTCAAAGAGGCAGAAAAAATTCCACAGACAAGATGAAGGACAACAGGCATCACACAGTAGAAGGATGGTGTGCATATTCACTGCTTAGGCTCCAAGCAGGGAATAACAAATAATACCAGTTAACAAATCCACTTTTTGCAAAAACCACTAACATTAATAAATTAAATTGTCTTTGTTTACGGGATGACGATTTGTCAAAAAAGAAAATGTATTCTTACCGGAAGGTCATCTGGAATATCTGCCTCAAGTTCACTTGCTGGCTCTTGTTGTTGTATCCGTGCAGCATTTCAGCAAACAGCGTGTCGTTGAATCGGACGTCCTGTCTGGGACACTTTGGTCCCTCACAGTTATCTGACTGTAGGAGACATGAGCGGCCGTCCCCTGCGAGACTGTACTCCTGGACACACCTGAAGAGGGGTGGATACAAAAGAACAATCGAATATTAAATGTAAATATATGTTAATTTATCCATACCTGAGCTGACAAGGACACGCGTTTCCTTCAAAGAAAATCATACTTTTGTCAAACTCAAGGCGCGCTGGCCAAATCTGTCATTCATTCATTCCCAAGTCATTTTATGTGCCCCACCAGAGCTTAACATTTGTTCAAATATTAGTACATTAACATGAAGTTTCTAATATTCTGTACCACTTACATACACACAAAACTACGGCTCAGGGGCCAAATGCGGCCCACTTGGCTTTTTAATCCGGACAATCCACCAAACTTATGTTATTAATTTACATTACCATTATACTTCTGCGTTTTCCTTTAAAAATGTCCCCATTTCTCCAGTAGATGGTGTAGAAAAGGCTAAAAGCTTTTTTAAAAAACAGTTTAGCCTTTATGCATGACTTTTACATGTCATTTATAGTTTTATAGTATTGCCCCCCTGTCAAATTTTAGGATCTATTATAAGTTTACACCAATGCTCCATCTATCTGCTCTTGATTGCCCCCTGTCAAATTTTAGGATCTATTATGGCCATAATGTGAGTCAAAGTTTTCCCACGTCTGCTCTACAACAACCGTCAAAAACAGCCCACACGAGCTAGTGTTTCCTAAAGTTTTTAAATAAAGACATTCTCAGCATTTTCACCAGGGTTTCCTCTACATGCATTAGGCAGCAGCCGCAGCAGCAGCAGCAACCCCGCGGCTCCTTAATTATTGCCACCTCTGCTACAGAATTGGGGCAGACGTGCCATAATAGACTACCTGTGACTGTGTCTGTTCCCTAAATAATAAACATCCTCAAGTGTTTCAACCTCCTCGGCTGTGCTTGGTTTATCAATAAACAAGTTTAACACCTCACAAGGTTTGTGTTCTCAACTGATCTGCTGTCATTGTTGAAGTTGGTTTCATTTTGGTGATGGCGGTGTCAGCATTTTCCTCTTCATCGTACGGTTAGTGGCAAAGTAATACGCAGTATTTACTGGAACAAGACATGTCTACGTTACAGCATGGCTTAACACCTGTGTTCTCCACGAGGACGAGATGATCCAAAAAAAAAAAAAAAAACTCTTGAGACCCACCTAAGGGTCACGACCCAGTCTTTGGGAACGCACTATGGGACCTAAACCTAAAACTTGGATAGTGGTAGTTTATGAGAAAATTTGTTTTAGTTTCAAGGATTCTCAACCGCTATCCACTGTAGTAGGAATCACTGCACCTAAAGCAGCTTCCAAGACAATATGTTAAAATATTTAAGAAAAGTTTAAAAATAGATTTGATGAACATGCGGATAAAAAAGTCTTGGCTAATGATTTCTTCTACCGTGACACAGCCTGACCTCAGAGACCCATTCTACCTGGTGCACTGTACAAGTAAAGAGTGGGGGTGATATAATATGCTGGAAATTATTTACCGTGAACTGTTTGAAATGCTGTGGCACAACATCGCTCATGGCCAGCTGCACAGCCTTTCACAGCTAAAGAACAACCTTTCCAAAGTGAAACTCTGCAGAGATTACCGTGTCATGTGATACAGTGTAGTTCTAGGGCAGGTGTTAAAAAAAGCATCTCCACTCCACAGTGCATCAGCTCAGCGAAACATGTGCGGGGTGAGAAAGAGGGCATTGGTGGGGTGAATGTATCACTGAATAATGTGCAGTAATTGCTGTCAGCACGCTCCCAGACTCAGGTGCACGCTGAAGAAAGTACCAGCAGCATACGTTCAGTGTGCTCGGAACACAATGGTTTTCTTTTATATGAGTTTGTATGTCTGTAATTATTGGTAATTTGAATTCTTAGTGTTGTTTTCTACCAATACCAAATACCAATGTATTTATCATAGCATTTTATACACATATATATAGACACACAAACATATATATATATACAGTATATATACAATTCATAATTTGGGAAGATATATATAATTTCTGAAAAACATATATATATATACAGTATATATACACAAACAGCTAATTAATTGCATCAATACATTTGCAGACTGAGCTATTTGGCAAAACTAGCATTCGCTAACTAGCCAAAAAGTTAATTTGAAACTATACATTGAAGATCGGCCCTGAGGTTACAAGCAAATTTGATTGGCTGGTTGCTTCACCTGGGAGCGCTCTGCTGGAGAGCAGCAAAGAAGCAGTTTGTTTCTTCAATATTATCAATTAAAGACAGCTGGACAACAGACGTGCATGTTTGTGCTTAGCTCTTTGGATCGTTTTCAAGAAAAGTGTTTCTAGAACTTTTCATCCTTTGTTTTTAATGATTGGTCAATGCAAAAAACTGGTCAATAATTTTTGAATTTCCAAGAAGGATTATTTAAGTAAACAGTAGGTAGTAAGTAGTAGAAGTAGTGCATACAGTACTTCAGTCCTGTTTATTAGCGCCTCTTTGGTCTTTATGTAAAATGCACTAATTACTTCATACTTGCTGCTGTATCTACTTTGCCTTAGATCGAAGGTGTCAAACTGAGGTGAGCTGTCAGCTGGGCTGATCACGTTTTTTTTATTTTGAAAATAAAAAAATACACAAACACTTCATGTTCAGGATATGATTTGTAAAATTGTACTTCATTAAATATGAATAATATTAAAAATCTAATATACCTTTATTTCTTTGCATGATAAAAGGGGTAAAAAAAATGGAATTGTTATTTATAGGTAATTAGGTTATACTTGTACTGGTCCCGCCCACTTGGCATCTAATTAGGATGTATGCGGCCCGTGAACCAAAATGAGTTTGACACCCCTGCCTTAACTAGATGTTTTCCCATTGGGATGTCACTGATGAGGGCACCTTCACGAGGAGCCTTTATTCAACTTTTAAATACTTTATTGTTGGTTATTCTCACCCGCAAAACATAAGCACATTGCTGGAACTGGGGTCATCTTCCAGGGGCACGAGTTGCTGGAGACACAGCTGTTCGCAGCCTCCATTGAAGCCGTCCGTGCAGTCGATGCCCATGGAGTAGTCATAGCAACCTGAGCCGTCTTTCATTGGCCTCAGCCCCTCAGGACACTGCAAGAAGGGAGAACAGTAACAAAGAAATAAGTGAAGAAGGTGGGAAGGAGGTGTGCAGAGGACGCCAGGAGGAAGGCGTAGATTGAACCGACGGCAGAGCAGATACAGACTGTGAGGTCGCCGTGTGCATGTTAATCAAGCGGTCGCAGAGAGGATGTGAGAGAGGGAGGAGGAGAGGAAATGAGAGAGGGCAGATTGATTGGAAGCAAACAGGATGAATATGTGTCATTTGGCAAAAAGGAGAGCGGGGCTGTTATCGTGTCATTTAAAATGTCAATTAGACATTACTGAGGGTTATCATTACAGCTCATCTGACGGCTGTAACAGAAGACAGAGGTGGGAAATACTTCAAAGATAACTGAGGTGGATGGATATTTTCTCCTTGAAATTACATTGAAACACATAATTTTCAGGTGCAAAAAAAAGTCAACTATGAGAATAACAGGGGGAAATGGTTGGTTAATAGTAATTAATTTTTCATTTGGGAATAGCAGGTGTGAATATCATAACCTCAGACTGTTAATTTGAAGCGCTAGTAAATTGAATGCATTTCCTCAGGCATGAGAACTATTCATTAACTCTTGTTTCCTATAATGGAGGATGTATTCCATTACGGAGCTGCACTCCATTAAAATGTAATTTTACCTTAAAATTAACAAAGTTGCAGACCTAACAACACCAGGATATGACTTTCATTATCCATCCCAGATGTAAACAATACTGTGTTGAGGATTTTGTGAGCCTTTTTTCTCTTTTCTTCTAAAATCAACAGTTCACATGTGATGGTAATGAAAAAAACGTGAATGGTTTACGTTATTGGACACCCTAGTGGCAAAGGCATCTGGACTGTTACTAGAGAGAGTTTGATTCACAGCAGGTCCTGAGAGGGGCTGGATTAAATGTACAGGAAAAATTAAGTTCTCTGTTCATATAGTTATCTGTATAGTTATGTGTATATATATATATATATTGAAATATTATATATATATATATATATATATATATATATATATGATGACCAATTAAGTGGGTATTTTATTATTGCCACAATACTGAGCCAGTTGATTTGTTTAATATTTGTCATATGACCCCTGGGCATTCTCTCTCTCTCTCTCTCTATATATATATATATATATATATATCACATCTGCACATGTTAGTACAATGTTGTAGTACTTCTTCTGTTGTATCTCATGAACAACAATATACATCAGAAATACAAATCTAGAAAAAAAAAATTTCAAAGCAGTAAAACCAGCTCATCTTTTCATTGACTTCTACATGTGAAATAAATCACAATACCGTTTTTTGTTTTTTTTTATTTATCTTGATATTTAAAAGACTAATCAACATGGTGTTTCCATTTCCAGTGAGCAGACATAACTGAGAAGACGAGTGCCTGTTTCTTTACAGTGAAAGTCGTTGATTCAGCTTCCTTATACAGTAATGGAAGCACAAAGACAGAACTGAAGACTTTGATCTCATACAGAGCTTTGAGCTACAGCAGGTGTAAGTTCATGTCGGCTCACTCCTGGAGGGAGAACTTTCATTTTTCATCTAAGTTTAAAGAGAGCCGCTGCCAAACAGTACCACAAAGATGAATGTGCAATAAGCACTCACCAGTGCTCATACATGTTTGGACAACGTCCAGCATTAAATGGAAAAGCTTTTCCGCCTCAGATACAATAAAGTATCTCATGAATGTAATGCTTACCTCCTCACCGGCACTGAGATTGGGGCCATTCATCACACTGAGCCTGAGCTGTCTGTAATTCACCATTGTCCAGCAGCTCTCTGCGGCTGAATGCTAGGACTTAAGGTTAGAAATTAGTGCAGCCCACTATTGTTGCCATTCCTACTACATCTCACTCACGGTAACAATGTGTTCCCTCTCTCTCTGTGATGACGACTCTCCAAAGACTAAGCCGTTTGAGGGATTTGCATTTCAGATTAATTCATTTGAGGCCTTCTGTAGGTGCTTCTGCAGTAGCAGAGATCGAGCTGTAGTTTATATGTTCACTAATCAGCTGTGAGGGTCAGGCACAGTGTGAATCGCAGCAGTATCATTTTTACTACAGTACTAAGACCACATATTTCTTTGACAAAGACCGTTACTCTACTCCCTTCACCTTTTTTTCACTTCAGATTTTTCTAAATCATCATTCACTATCATTTTACTGCCCTGTGTCGTGATACATATCGTATTGCCAGATTCTTCCAAATACACACAAAAGTTAGCTTCAGCTCATTAGCGTCCACTTCTATTCTCTCTTCTCACAGAGCTGCTGTATATATATTAGATTATGATAGATGGCGATGTAACCATGAAATGCCCATTCTTTCAGAAAATCTCTGATTCAGTAATCAGAGCAAACAGCGGTTGCAGAGTCCATTGCTCAGAGATTAATCAATATCTCAGAAAATCTCTGATTCTGTAATCAGAGCAAACAGCGGTTGCAGAGGTTGGGTTCTCAGATCACAATTTATATTTTACTGAGAAGCTATTATTAAATTGCTGACCAAAATGCCACTGCACCCGGTGTGACCCCAAACACAAACGTGAGACTGGGGGCTAAAAAAATAACAATACATCACTTTAGCTCTGTCTTTGGTGTAGATTTTAGAGACCAACACACGTCTTTCTCGCTCTCACAGCCATGCTTAAAGCAGGAATATGTTACGGATAAAACAGTCGATGGATGTACGGATTCCTCGGAGATTATTATAAATGAGGAATTTACTACTCCATTAAGTAGTAGAGTGGAAGTATTTCACTCTCAAGTATACTTAGGGGAATACAGGTACAAGCTAAGGAGGTATGGAGAAGAGAAAGTGGAGGAGAAAAATGAAGTACATCACATATCTTCATATATATTTCCCTTTACATTAAAAGCTTCACATCGATAATATCGCAGTATATCACAAAATTTCAGCCGACCAATATTATCGCCCTGAAATTGGTATATAATGAAAAATCTATTAGAACCGTTTTTCCTCCGATCATGACAACCCGATAACACGATATTGGTTTCGCCAAATGATGTGTGACCTAAAAATAGTTTTGGGGGTAAACGGCTGTATATTAAAGTGAAAGTCACTAGATGGCAGCATCGCAGCTCATTTAACTGATCTCATACTTGTACAGTGGTGTGTAAAGATAGATAAATATTACCAGGCATATATCAGTATCGGTTGAAATCAGAATCAGAAATGTGTTTGGGCAATATCGGCATATTGGATATTGACAAAAAGTTAATATGGGACATCTCTTAATATCTCTTTTTACTGCCCCGTGTCGTTATATTATATATCGTCTTACCAGATTCTTCCAAATACACACCCCTAATGTTAGCTTTAGCTCATTAGCGTCCGCTTCTCTTCTCAAAGAGCTGATCGTGGTAAAATACTTCTAATTTATCACTTCTCTTCTCAAAGAGCTGATCGTGGTAAAATACTTCTAATACTACAATAGACCCTTTCTTCAAGTAAGACAGTCAAAGTTTAAGAGGAAATTCATCACGCAATTGTGATCGTAAACCTTACAACGTGGAACTTCCTTTTAAGGAAAGCATGTCTTGAGACTTTGGTAAAACACCACGGAATAAAAAAAAGAAAAGTTTCTGAAATAGCGCACCTCTAAATCACACTGACAGGAAACTAGAAGAGAGGGAAAAAAATAAAATAAAATGCTCTTAAAGCACATGTGGCAGCCTAATCTGGTTTAGAGGTGGCAGAGATGCATGGCCGGCAGCTCCATGGCTGTTCAAATGGGTTAAATTAGACACAGCAGTTTTATTGCTCGAACTGCACCCTCACAGAAGTGGTGAGGGTGCAGTTCAGTCCCCAGCTGTTTGTTCCGTTACTAGCTGTGAATTCATATTTAAATCTCAGTATGAAAATGAACCCAAGTCTCTGAGCGGTTTGAAACCCCGATCCCCGAGGGCAAAAAAAAAAAAAAAAGTCATTCATTTTTTTTATTACGCCACTATTTGATCATTTGTTTTTGTTTTTTTTTTGTAGTTTACCTCTTTATTTCGTTCACCCAAACATCTGTTTGGACAAGCTGGAATAAAACACATGCCTAGTTTGATTTCATGCAGACTTAGCTCTGCCACAATCTCTCTCTCTCAGTTTTAATATTGTGAAGTTCACCGTGAGAATGTTAATGCACTCTGTAGTGAATGTGATGATCTTATCACTGGATGACATATCATGGAGCGCGGCTCTGTTTACGGGCCGTTCTGTCCACGTCGGCCACCTTTCATCAGTGAAACCACAGATGACACTCTGAGTTAGGGATGGTTTTGTCCTCAGACTGCAGCAGCTCCACAGCCCGATGGCTGACGGTATGTGAGAATCGCTTTGATTTGTTTTCTGTGCTGGTGAAAACAGTGGCGACACGCTCCGACAATTACAAATAGTTTATGTCAGAAAATGCAGTAAATAATTGAGAGAAGGGAAGAAAAGGTAATGTTCTGAGATTAAACAGTGTCATAAATGTTAAAACAAAAAAAAAATGTAATTAAGTTCTGAAAATGCCCCGGGATATTTAAAATGAAATATACACTCCTTTCATGTGTGCAAATATATTACATTTGAATCAATAAGGAGTTGAAATGTATGAATATAAACAGCAGGACGATATATGTTCACTGATTCAAAGATGACCATCAAAGTCTATGACAGAAATACAATGGAAATTAAAAATAAAAAAACAAAACAACAAACTTGAACTGATTATTAAAACTAAATACATTGTATTTATTTATTTTATTTTAATTTTGTATGCTTGAGCACACATTGTAATGGTGGTGAGCACTCTTGCCTTACAGAAAGCGAAATGTGTTCAAGTCCAAGCCCGGACAGATGGCCTTTCTGCAGGGAGACTACGAGCCCTTCCTGAGTCAAACTGAAACTAAGTTAATCTTAAACTCAATTAATGCAACATATAAACCACATTCAGCTGTGCTTATTTAGTCATACTTTGTTCTTTTCTC